CATCTCTCTCTGCACTATAGCGAGCGGCTAATGCTAATGATTGAGAATAATGAGAACAGCTGTTTGAAGTGTTTAGATCATTGAAGTTAGGAAGAAGAAGAAGCTCTTCTACATTAATCGCAATGACTGCGAGCGAGACAAAAATTCATGCGTATTGCTGGGTTGCATACATCAAAATTTGCCTCACTAGCATAAAGCAGTGCGCCCGTTTCAGTGTTTGTTTAGTTCAATGATTTATGCGAATTACGGCGCTACTGACGAGACGCTTATGCTCTGTCGGGTTAGGTGTGACGTCAAAAACGGATGGAGATAAGAGCCGCTTTCCAGTATGGGAGTGTGACGCCCGGAGCTACCTGGGGCGTTGAGCTCCCGAGCTGTACGTACGCGTCAACCTGTTAGCTGTCACATCCGTGGGTGGCTATTTATTTATTTATTTATTTCTTTTTATATCTCGGGATTGAACATTTTCAAAATATAGTTTTGATTCTCTTTCATTTTTGATATATAAAAAACAAACTACACAAACAAACAGATAATTATTTTTAAAATTTGACATATTTGACACTAAGACAGGCGTCTCACGCCATGATACTGGAACGGTACAAATCTAGTGCGTCGCGCCCTCGAGGTGCTCTAGAGCGCGCCAATGTGCATACAAAAAGCAGCTAAGATAACCAGTCCCCACTTTGTCTGAGAGTCCGTCACTTTTGTCATATCGTCGCGTCAGTAGGTTCACACGTCACAGAACCAGTGATGACTGATGACGTAGGCAGCGTGTCGTTTCTCGCCGCGGGCTTTTGCTCTATGCCACTTACTGTATTCCTTTTATACATCGAGTTACACCAAACGAGCTCCTCGGAGTCATTCCAAAACACACAATTCAGATTTTATCATTATTTTTTAATATTAACATTACAGTCATTACCTGAAAGGGCTTCTTGCACACCCCGGAAATTTGGTGCATCAGGGGAAAGGGGGACGCACTATGAACAACTCGAGTGCTTAACGCACTTTTAAAAGGAACGTTCAAGCTTTTGACATTGCGCAGCTCCGACTTCCGAGTCACTCAACGGGTAAAAGGAGCCGCTTTCCAGTATGGGAGTGTGACGCCAGGAGCTACTCGGGGCGTTGAGCTCCCGAGCTGTACGTACGCGTCCTGTCAGCTGTCACATCCGTGGGTGGGGTGGCTATTATTTATTTATTTCTTGTTATATCTCAAGATTGAACATTTTAAAAAATATAGTTTTGATTCTCTTCCATTTATGATAAATAAAAAAACAAACTGCATAAATAAACAGATAATTATTTTTAAAATTTGACATATTTGACACTAAGACAGGCGTCTCACGTCATGATACTGGAATGGTACAAATCTAGTGCGTGGCGCCCCCGAGGTGCTCTAGAGCGACTAGAGCGCGCCAATGTGCATACTGGAAAGCGGCTAGGAATACAGTAATAGACCGATCTCCTATTACCTGGACTGCGCGCGTCGTTTGTAGGCTGCAGGTGAGCGTCCAATGAGAAGCAAGTTTATGATAGGCTTGCGTCATATTCTTATTCAGGGGCCAGTTCAGAATGAATCGTTCCTTCTTTCTTTGTAACGTGTAATTTGACAAAGAACAAACTAATACTTTACATATTACTTGAACTCACCGAAGTTTCGTTTAAGGTTATGTTAGATTATACTTGATATTTTCCTTTGAAATTTCATTGAGCGATGGTGCCGGATGAAACATTTATCAAAATGAAAGTGCAAACGATGTTCATCCACTTTAAAGCTCTTCTTTTGTCTGTTTTAAGACGTTGTAAAACACTTGACACTATATTACTTCTTTATGTTATAATGTTCGATTTGTATTGTCTACATTTGTTCTGCAACAATACAATCTGGCTACACTGCAGCCTACGAGTTGCGTGCGCATGTCATCTTTTATTGCTTTCTAACTTGTATTTATTACAATTAAGCTCTCTTTTTCTAATTGACGTTTTCAATTAAAAGAGATGGACAATAAAGTATAAAAACAATCATTTTCCCGCCAACATTTGCTTGCTTGTCAATGCCAGTATGTATTGGGTGTTTTGAAAGAAAATGTGGGAAAAGTCACTACTTCATTTGCAGAACTTCGCTATGGAGAAAGCGGTGGGAAGATAACAGCTCCCGCAAACTAAACTTGAACGTGGATTACTTTGTATATTTGATAGGCCGTGGATTTCCCTTTTTTTTGCGAGTATTCTTTCTGATTTTATGTATTCAAAATTTGACAAATGTAGAATTTGATGGAAACTTATGGAGAGACACGTCCGCCGGTAAATAGAAATTATTTTCACAAAAAGGCACACTACACAATCACCATTGTTAGGAAAAAACTTTGAAAAAACCGAGGAAATAATAGTTTCCAGTTTCCACATGTACAAATATCTTGTCAACAAACCACTGTCAGCGGCTGTCAACCGTTGTTTTCATACTCTTTTGGCGTCTGACAGTTTGACGCCAGAGAGAGATGCTTTTAAATTGAAAAGGTCAATTATACGAGATAGGTCTATTGAGGCTCTTAGTTTAAGTACATTAATTATTGACATTCTAAAATAACGCTTTTTTAGATCTCGTTTGCATCTTCTTATTTGCTCATTAACAGCTGACGTCGTAGTTGATAACGTCGTCAATAGTTGTATTTCTTTTAAGAGTTTAAAACACCAGAGCTACTCGCTCCGGTCTTACTCGACCCTGATTCGAAAGGAACGGCTGCCGTACTCTGTAACAACATAGAGAAGACATTTCCTTTCCATGATAGAAAATAAACGCAACGGAACTCCCTAACCCCACTCTGCTAGAATCGCTACCTCGAACTACCTACTCGTGTCAATAGAAATAGAAAGACCCTTTTCGGTCTTGCTATTTTTCCTTTTCATTCTACACAATCACAATTGACGTAAGCTTATCTTCGTCTAATTTTTTTTTGGATTTTTTGTTTTGATTTGGGATTAAAGAGTGACATAAAGGACCCCGCACATTTCTTATGGAAAAGTGATCTATGTGGAATTTGGCTGAATTTTTGATATTGTGTAGAGGCAGTCATTCTTAACAAAAGTTAACATTGCGCTAATGTTTAATACCGAACAGTTTTTAAGATATCAATTAAAAACTTTTTTAATATATTACCCTGCGTTTTTTTTCTCATCAAATTTTACCGATGGATCCACCATTCTATGGCCGTCATTGTCATTTTCCATTCACTCAACAAAGATAGCTAACTCATCGGTGAAGTCACCGATGAGAACAAAAACGAGGGGATACTCTTAAGTATGACGTCACCAATATGCTCTCAGCCCCGAAAATGATTACTATTCTTTCCACTTTCGACTTTGACTATACTCTTCTCGTTTTAACATTAAGGGCGGGTATTATAAAACTGCTTTGACAGTTAATTTGAAGTTAACTTTTTGAATTACATGTAATTCCAGAAGTTAACTCTCAAAGTAGTTTTATAATACCCGCCCTAAGAAATAAAAAAAAAACAACAACAGGTACAAATGAAATCGCTATATGACTGACATGACATGACGTTGACGATTGCGGCAGGGCAGGAGCTAGGTGTTGTTCACCCATCAGGATAATACGTAATACACTTGTTAACCTAATTATTTGTCACTAATCGCTATGGCTATCTTTTTCTATTTCTTAATGTTAAAAGGAGAAAAGTATAGTCAAAGCAAAAGTGGAAAGGATAGTAATAATTTTCGGTTCTGTGAGCGTACAGGTGACGTCATACAAAAGACTATTATATTAAAAAAGTTTTTAATTGATATCTTAAAAACTGTTCACTATTAAACATTAGCGCAATGATAACTTTTGTTCAGCAGGACTCCCTCTACACAATATCAAAAATTCAGCAATATTCCACATGGATCACTTTTCCATAAGAAATTTTCCCGCCAAAACAATGCTCCTGTCGTAAAAAAAATACAAAAGCAGTCCTTCACAATATTCTTCATCCATTGCGACAATTTTCACAAAAAGCAAACTTTAACACACTTGAATAACACAAAAATAGCACTGCGTCAGCAGGAGTTCGTTTGCTGCGTATTTTATGTTTACAAAATCTCAACGTCACAAGCGCTGTCAAATTAAATTTTCGTGTTTGGGCACTTTCCAAAATTCACCGGTTTCTGAACCGGTGCGATACCGGTTTAATAGTTTACTCACCAAACTGTTCCAAAATGTACCGACTTTTTACCGGTTGAACCCGATCGTTCGTTCCAAAATTGACCGGAATGATCAGCTGTTTGAAACCGGTGAGGCACCGAATCCACCGGGAATTTTTGTCGGTTTTTTCGGTTGGAGGTTTTTTGACGTACATTAATTTAATTGCTTTGAATGGGTACTATTGGCATTCTATCGTTAAATTGCTGTTGCAGATTGCAGAATAAAAAAATGTTTGTGCGTGGTCGTCATTATGAACTCGACAAATCAAATACTCAGCTCACATAATCTACAAAAATCGTACTGAAAACTACCGTTTGTTGACTGTTAAAAATAATAAAAATACATACCAACCTCACTGTATCCCACAAAAAAAACAATTTCAAAAAATAATAAGGAACACCACCAAACTTTGACACCAAAGCGTTCCAAAATGCACCAGAAAAATCTTGTAACCGGACTTGCATCTGACTTTTACCGGAATTTTGTGACAGCTACCGGTTTATTTAACCGGTCAATTTATCGGTGAAATTTGGAAAGTGCTCTTTTCGCGCCAAAGTATTTCATTTGAATTTCAATAATTTTTTTTTCGTACAACGTATAAATTAAAATGGAAAAAAAGAAAATTATGTTATAACTGATGATTAGAAGTATCTAAAAAAAAATAATTTGAGAAATATGAAAATTCCCTATTGCATCATGTAAGAACGCGTCTTCAACCTTCAACCAACAAGCAATTTAAAAAAGCAACAAGCGCTGCACCTGATAATAAATTTGAAGGTGATTATTACAAATTGACAGTTGTCATTAATTTCTTATTATACTGTACTTCTTTATTTTATTTTCTGGAAGATGCAGGAGAAACAAACTTAACTTCGGCAAGTTAAATAAACTTGTAGAGAGGAAAAAATGTCTGGAGTACCATTCGAAAAGCCATTACCGCATATTGGTCTGGCAGATTGGTTTGCCAAACAATGGGACATACAGCAAACCAACGACACGCGTTCATCAGACGCTTTCAAGTTACGACAAGAAGCACGATTACTCAGAAATGAGACCAACATCAAAACAAATTGGGACACTTACCACAACAATGTCAGACTAGGGGATAGGGTTACAGAATTGGATAGGTGGAAGGAAATGTTGGAGGCATGTCTTCAAAGAATAGATGAGGAAGTTAAATTGCTTAAAGATGAAAAATTCGAAACGGAAAAAGAGATAGAAAGGCTTGCGGTGGCAGCAGCAGTAGTTGCAGAATGTATCTCCATGAGAGATAATAGGCAAGGAGGAGAGTTGACTTACGACGAAGGCGATACGGAGCTGAAAAAGGAAATTTGTGTCCTGGAAAGCGCTAAAAAGATGTTGATGGAACGATGCCAAGCTGTGTGGGAAAAAATTAACAAACTCAATGAAGTTCGATTCAAGCTCAACTTGGACATCAACGACAAACACGAAGCTATTGAAATCGATAAAGATCAATTGACTTTAGATAAAAATTGTGCTAATATTAGCTTCAAAACTAAACCCTGTAGACGGGTCGTTAAGAGGTACTTAAATTATAAATTAATTAATTATCAAAAAATGTCGAATTGTTATTTTACAGTTCCGTGTCATATGAAACTTGGCTAGAACACAGTCGCCACGTCAAACTTTTAGCTGACAATGAATTGGCAGATACTTTAAAGCTGCGCGAAGCCCTATTTGTGGTTAGGGAACGCGCTAAAAATGATATGTTGGCGCAGCGCGACAGAGTGGATTTTATTTTACGCAAGCGCATCTATCAGACTCAGAAAGCACGCAACGAAATCGAGTGGCAGCAATTCAAGATGCGTGATGAAATGGAAAAGGTAAAGATTTTAGTTACAGAGGTTCCTGTGTCAGTTTTATCACCCTTTTTGAAGAACAAAAATACGAGGCTATTATTTCATTTCTCTGATTTTTCCGCATTCTTTACACATTGGTTAAATAATCTCTTCAATGTTGATAGGATAGTCCTTTTTTTCTTCTTTTAGTATTTAGGTATTTAAGCTGTCACTTAACTCCATCTTGTCCTGGTAATAGGTAATGTGGCTTTTCAGATATTATATCCGGCTTTCGAAAGCTAGAAGGATGTTGTTCTTCATTTTTCTTAATTTTTATTCTTTATGGTCATGGTTTTGATGGAAGGGAGTCTTGATCTTAGGAAGTTTGGGTCTTTACTCTTATTACCTTCTACCCACTTTCCATTATTGCTTCGTCGTTTTTATTTATTTCGTTTTGGTCTCATTCTAATGCATTTCTCATTTCTGGATCCGATCCAAAGTTGCTAATTTTCTATTTGAAGTCGTCCTTGCGGCATAATTTGGAATTAAAGTAGCCCATAATATTTATTACTTACCTACTTATTGGTTTATTTTATGTTTCACAACACAAAATATAGGATAAAAGTGTGTAGGTACCTATGTAAACATTGCCAATAAAAGGTCTTAGCAGAAATCGCATGTATCCTACTGGAGTCAAGTGCCATTTTACCTCTTGGATTGTGATATATTGTGAGACCCCAAATTCAGAAACTTGGCAAGATGTTAAATTGGCGAGCGGTGACTTTAGTTTCTGAGTGGAGACACAGTTTAAAATGGGTCCTATTTGCGGGTGGAGAGTAAAACACAGAAATATTGTAGTCAATAAGCACAATTAACTGTTAAGGAAAATTATATGATTCCAAGTAAACATTTTTATTTACAGTTTGACTCGATTCACACTCTTGTCTTCACAATTTATGGCTGAACATAAAAAAACTCTACTTACATTTAACAATAATATATTTACTGCTGGCCACACCTAATTACATGGAAACCTAATTGGTCGAAGGAATTTACTTTAATTATGAACACTTAATAAAAAACTCGAATATTTTCGCGCTGTTATTTCACGTCGTGTTTCTTCTCTTGGTTAATTTGACAACTCTTTCACGCCGTAGTTCTGACTTTCTGGACACAGGTCTCTCGATTCACGATTACTACTTGTTTCTTGATTATTCAACCGACACTGGTCCTTCACGCCGTAAATCTGCCGGTTTACTCGCTCTTTCTCGAACACTGATTTTCTCCTGCCAAAGTTGCCTTTTTATATCATTGATCCCTCCATTGTCTTGAATTTCTTTATTGTTTCTGACCTCGATTTTTCGTGGTTGAATCATCCGATCAATCAGTGTATTTGGTCCCCTTTTAATTAATTATCAAGGGCGTCGCTAAGTGGTTTGTTAAGTGGGTATCATCATATAGGCTCGTGCATGATTTATTGATCCTTTTAGAAATTTTTCGGCTCCTTTGGAATGTTAATTGTTGGAAGCACTTAAAAAAAAGGTCCATGAACTTTTGCTTCATTCACATTCCAATGTATTAGTCAATATAGAGTATCGGCTTCAATAATTTCCTGATATCGATGTTCAGATAATTTTTAATTGAAGTTTCTGGCTGTGCTGTCTAAGTGGTGATCTCTCCTGGGATGGTTGTTTGGTAAGTCCTTGTTATTCTTGATTAATTTTCGGTAGTTGGATCCTAGGTCTTTACTTGTTTAGAATAATCAGAACCTTTAATTGTTTTCTTTGGTGGTTTATTTCCGCATCACTACAATTTCTTCGATAAAAATACAAAACATATACCAATCAGTTATTATATTCTTTGTGTAGGTACCTTTTTATGTTCGTTCATGGTTCTTTCATTTTTTTTCTAAAACTTCAACTAAACCTATTTCATTTATTCAGATTGAGAAAGAAATCAGAACGCTGCAAGATGCCTTGGAAGCCAAATTTGATGCTCTAAAATTGGCTGAAACTAGATTACAAAATCGGTAATATTGAAAAAAAGAATGTTACACTAAAAAAATACTTATATAATTAATTATTTTTAAATCTAGAACCCTTCGTCCAGGTTTTGAGATGGCCCGAGACGAAGTCGAGCACGGTCTGAAAGAAGAAGTTTTCCAGCTAAAACAAACCATGAAAGATTTGAACGATAAAATGATGTGTGCCAAAGCTACCTATAACGCTCTGGAAGACCAACAAGTCATTATTGACAGGGAGTTGGAGAACAAAAATCAATCGTTAATGACCGATATTCGATGCTTGGATCTGAGGGCTCCCTTGAAAGAGGGTAACTTTGCCGGTCCACAAACTCAGACTGATAGGAATATACAATTGACTCGAATGGAGAAAGAAATTCCCGCAACGTAAAAAAAATCCATCCAGATTTTGTTCATTTAATAAACGCATCTGTTTTATATTATTATGTCTGGGTAATAATATGATGTATGTATAGCTTTTCGAGATATTTTAAAATTTGAAAATAGCGGGTTTTGCAGTAAGACATTTTTACTGGAGGAGCTTAGCAAACCCTGAAGATAAAAATATCCAGTGATGTTGAAGCTTATTCTCTAGTTACGTTTATTTAATTTTAACTTTTCGTTTCTTCAAATCTCAAACTCCTTCATCCCGAATCGGGCACGTTCAAAGAAACTCACCGATATATCCATTCTGCTGTCACTTTTGTTGTTGGGTTCATCGCGAATTTTGTCTATCTCCTTTTTCAGTTTTCTTCTCGATTTTCAATGTACCTGATATGTCTTGTTGAATTCTTTTCTTCGCGAGGCGTCCCTATATACTTTGCCTTTCTTCTTCTCGGACTCTTGTTTTTTGGCTTTTGAACGTTTCTATTTTATCTTGAATGTTCTGAAATAATCAATCCAGAAATTCTTCCAATATCCTGCGGTATTTAGTTCCTATTCTGCCTTTTTGTTTTTGTGTCTTCTTCGTCTTACAAAATTTTCTAGAGCCGGTCCTGTTCTTGTTTTTCTATGTCGTCTGTCTTCTTCCTCATGTTTATCTCTGTCGTCTGTATTGTCCTTCTTGTTTTCCTTTCTGTCGTCTCGTCTTCTCCCTGTTTTTTTTTTCATTCCTTTCTCGTTCGCAAGTTCCAATAAATCTGGCTCCTGATTCATTATTATTCTTCAATTTCAACGGTCTGTTTTCTCATTTTCATCATAGACGAAGATTCTCACTTCTGACACCAATTACGACAAAAATAGCACTATTCCAACACTATGTTTAACAAGCTTAAGTAGTCACAAAACTAAATCACAACTCGCTATCTTACTCTTACTATCAAATCGGTCAATTATCAATGAAGTAGAAAGAGGTATGGAATGAGCTTTGTGTCATCCAATTGATTCCAGAATGAGATAGCGCTAGTAAGGGCAAGAAATATATTGGATCTCCCATATCTCTCACTCTAACCCTGAATGAGATAGCGCTAGTAAGGGCAAGAAAATCTCATGGATTTCCCCTATTATCTCACTCTAATGTTGGCCGCAAATATATGTATTGAGTAAATGGGCAAAGGGCTATTCCAACCTTCTTACTACTTCATTGTTAATTATCCGACAGCGTCCGGAAAGACGGCTTTCCAAACACATCCGAATGCACGGGCTAAATTGTTAAGTTCTTTGGGGAGCAGAAGCTAATAACTCTATTAAAGCCTCGATTTCACACTGAAAAAAAAGGGTAGATACCCAAATATTACGAAAAAGTGCGTTAAAGGGACGTATCCGAACTCCGCTGCGCGTCGTTCGTATAACTGTGTTTGCGTGCGGAAAAGTAACACTTTGCGCACTTGTTAGGAAAATAACTATTTCCCGAGAAATTCATGGGACTTGAATGGTATGTCGGCCTTGTTACACACAGGCCTTATGAGGATAGGCCGTCCTGTAGTAGTAGTGTGGATCATTCTTGATTTATTTTTACTGCTTTTTTTGCTTCAAGCAGATTTCAGCAGATTGGCGTTCACGTGTCCCATATAGCGTATTTCATTGGTAGAGCAAGTAAGTGCAACACTGGTGCAATACTGCAATATTCGTGATCCATTGGCAGAGTCGCGCTGCACTTTTGTATTTGATTGGGAGAGCAAATGCACCGAGTTTTGCACCGAGTGCTGCTAGTGCGCCACCGGCTAAAAAGCTCGTGTCGCATCCAGTACAGTTGTTTATTGTTATTTTTGAAATTAGGTTATTGGTGGTTGATGATTTTTCATAAAAAACAGTCCTAAATAGTATTTTTTTATTGTGTTTTTTTATATTTGTCTGCGAATCTACTACCAAAAATGTCAAAAATCGCTTGTTGGTTGAAGGCAATTGCCTTGATGGAAAGTAACAGCAGCAGTGAAACCAGTGAATATGGAGAATATTTAGGGCAGAGACTCAGAGAGGCAAGAACTTTTTTAAAATGAAATTATAATTATAATTATTTATAATAAGCACAAGTATAATTTTTTTAATGAAATTCTATATTCGAGGTTTGACGTATATGGGATGGTGCACTCGATGGTGCAGTACCATGATGTTTCATTGGAACTGCACGCGAGCAGTTTTTTTAAAGTGTCAGTGCAAAACTAGTGTTGCACTTGCTCTACCAATGAAATACGCTAATAGATTATAAGCTCATAAATAACAGCTAGCCTAGTATTCATAACCGCGAATTGCGGATTTTTATTTTGCGGATTGTTTTCTATCATGAATAATAATAGTAATAAATGAATAAAGATAAAATTGTTCACGAACACAAACAAACATTTTAGCATTTTGCAATCTGTAAGCAAAAATTCAACGAACCACTGCATATAGGGCCGGTTTCTCAATAGCGAGTCACCTCCGGGTTGGTTTTTACTCCAGGGTAAGCGTGTCCAGTTGCTATGTTTACCCTGGAGTTATCCTTAACCCGGTGGTGACCTGGTGGGGGATTCTCATCCTCTAGTCGCAACCTATCGTCCCGACTATCCCATTGCTTTTCTACGAGTGAGTCGGGACGATAGGTTGCGACTAGAGGATGAGAATCCCCCCTGCTATTGAGAAACCGGCCCATAGTGCCCATTAAAAGCAATTAGGGCGAATCCCCACGGGCGTAGTTAGCGCAATCGGCGTGAACGTCAATTCTACGCGAATTTTGGCTTAATATCCCGCATGTAGTGCATCAAAACCACAACAAAAACATTTTCTAACACAAATATCTTGTTAATTTTTTGCCAGGTTGTAATGAAAATTTACCATTTGTTATTGTAGTCCTTTTCCTTTAATTTTCTGTGATTTTTCTATCATAGGTGAGTAGGTGAGTTCGGCTTGGCAACTCTTTTGACTCCTTTGACACTTTTCACTGCAGAATCGTTCGGGTCAGGCCACTGGGAACAAATAGTGGAAGCTCTACTCTACATCGTTTTTGTACAGCCAAGTAGAGTGAAAATAATTAACTCCATATCCATAAGCTCCACCTCGCGACATGAGGCTCGAGAAGCGAGCATGCGCACTTCCTATATTCCCAAAAGGCGGTAAAATTTAGGTTTTCAATAATTCACTATCCTAACCATCCTAATCTAAAGAATTCAAAAAGGATTTTTTTTTGCTTAGGGCTTGGTTGCATAGAAAAGTGATTTTTTATATTCTTGATATAGAACGCTCACTCCTGTTGTAGTCGCCAAGTGACATTTCCGACGGTGCTGCCATAGCGGTGTAGTCATTGAACTAATATTTGGCGGGCCGTTTGAATTTCGGTTTTAAATGGCTGGTTTGACATTTCAATTATTTCAAAATAAGGCAGTGCTTCAAAACTTCATAAACTAAAATTTTATACATTTTATTTTCATATATTTATGTGAGAATCACTGAAAGAATAAAATAGTTTATAATCTATTCATAGATGATCTGGCGTATCTGACTCATGAGCCGACTGGAGCACTTTTCAATCTGCTTTTTGAAAATGTCCATTTTTTTCCAGTTAAAAGGCTGTCATATTTGATCAAGTTATTTATAATTCCCTCGAGCATGTATGGAGCATCATACAGTGATACGATTTCTAGGTTGTTTATTTCCAACAAAACCAAAATTTCTCTTTCTGTGTTGTTTTTGATGTAGATTTCCCTGGTTTGTGGTTGCAATTCGCTTTTGGTCTATTCATTTTTTGGCGCCTGGTCACACACTGTGGCAACAACTCTTAAACCGGCTGCTTATGATGATGCACTTATCATTTCTTTCACAGTCTTGGAATTCAAAACAATCATTGACAATGCACTCAACAAATTAATTCAGATGACAAGATGACATTTGCATTATGATGTTAAATGGATACCTGCGTTTTTATGACTGGTTTTTATATACACGACGATTCTATGTCGGTCATTGTCATTTTCTATTCACTAAACAAAGATAGCTAACTCATCGGTGAAGTCAGAGATTAGAATAAGGAATGAGGGGGGCGTTAAGAAACGGCGATATGGGCGCACAGCGGTGTAGTCACGAACTAAAACAAAAAGTGGCGGAGATGAATCCAGTGAATGTTCTATTTAGGAATTTAAAAATCACTTTTCTATGCTTGGTTGCCCCCTGGGGATCTGTAGAAAAAAATGGCATCGCTCCCCAAAATATCTGGAAAAACATGTTCGGGTTTGTGATGGGGATAAGCATTCGGGGGCCTCGGCATTTCTTCATTGGCCGCGGCTCGCCTTGCTCCTAATGCGTTCGACTAACCATTTTACTCTTTTCGCTCTGTGTTCAGGTTACTATGAAACTGCTCTTTATCCGCTCCAACTCCGTTCTGCCAAGCTGAACTCACCCCATATATTACGTCACAACTTTGGCACGATTACGCCGAAAAGTTCAACAAAACCCAACTTTTTGCCGTAGCGGCAGCGTAATGTCAAAAATTCATTGCCGCCAATGAAATCGTACAAATTAAATCACACGATTAGTTACGCTCATGTTACGCTTACGTCAAGAACGCCCGTGGGTTCTCGCCCTTAATGTACACTTGGCCAAACATAAAACTGGTACAGACAATATATATTTTTCAAATTTGCCTAGTGTGAGTCAGGCTTAACAACAAAAAGTCTCTTCTGAAAAACTTAAAGGCGATTTCGGCCCAGATTTTCATCTGCTGTTCGTTTACGTTCGGTAGGCGAATGGTTAACCAATTCGTACGTCAGTGACGTAGCTCAACAATCTCATCCTCATCCGAATTAGGCAATCCAAACCACGTGACTTTTTGACGGATTGTTGGCACACAAAAGATTTTCTTGATTCAATATTGTGTCATTTTCTGTGTTGAATGCGTATTTTGCTGCTCTGCTCATTGCTTAATTTTGTGAGTTTTGAGACCTGAATTATTTCATTTGAGTCTATTTAAACATTTTTAAAGACATTGAAAATATTTTCACGAGTTGAAACTTTCATTTCTATTGAAATATAGCTTTCAGAGAAAGTCCACATTTGTGCGAGTTGTGGAAAAGCTGTCTTCAGGCCGCTCTTGGATTTGCTAGTGTTCCCCCAATAACTTCATGGAATATTATTAGCTATAT